TATTCGTTGTTTCTGTTAGTAAAGGCCAGAACATACTGGAAAAAAAAATGTTAATTATGTTATTATTATGTTATTATAAGGGATATCAACCTCAATATACACATTTGCGGGCCTCAATATTAGCATATGCGCATATTAATTTGTTAGAGATGCTTTGAAAATTCGATCCTAATGAAGTAATAAGGATTGCTACAGATTCTATATATGTACGAAAAGAGGCTTTATACAAGATCGAAAATATACCAGCATTCTTCAAGCAAGTTGAGGTAAAGTCAGATCCGAATTTATATTCACACTATCCTTCTTGTGCAATATGTAGCAATCCAGAAGAATTTCTTATTTCAAAATCAGAATATACAAAATGGATTAAAAAGTTTTTAAAAACAAAAAAGCCTCTAGTAAAATATGATTGCAAAAGACATAACCTATTTGTTTGCAGATTTTGCTTTGAAGAATGGTTTTATAAATCGAATTCTTGTTAGAAGCAGTTAAATCAACCAGAAAAACAAGAGGTTCGAGAAATTCAACCTGGTCAATGGCGTGATAAGGGTGAAAAAATATATGTACCGGTTGCTGATATTGTATACTGGCCAAAGAATAGGCATTAAGAATTGATCAAAGATATTCTAGATAGTACGGCTCTATCAATTCATAATCCTATTATGCGATATCAAAATTTATATCTCAATGAAGGAGGTGGATCTGGTAAAACAACATGAGCTATCAAAATTTTTAAAGATATAAACATAGTTGTTTTTACTCATACAAATATATTGGCCAAAGACTTCCAAAATGACCATAAGGTAAAAGCCCAAACTTGGCATAGTTTCTTTTGGTGAAATGGTGTAGAAGAGTGGACTTCTGAACATATGGGAGAAAAAAAATTCCCACGAGTTGTTATATAAGATGAAGTATATACAGTGCCTAAACATATTTTAAAAAAGTTTATCGATTACTTACTAGAGCAAAAATGTCAGATAATTTGTTGTGATGATAATGCCCAGCCTTCACTATTCTTTGGAAAAATGCCCCATAACTGGTTAAAAAAAATGAGCTGATTACTATGAGGAAGTCTTGACTGACTATCAGGCCAAATGTTCTAAATTATGTGAACTCAAAAAGGGAATATGTTATAAAAATAATCAAGTACAATCAGAATTATTTTGTAGAGCAATTCTAGTTATAGAAAATGGAAATATCTTAAAAAAGAATGGTCTCCCTCAGATCGAATTTTATCAGCATTTCGACTTTCTCAAAGACTTGCATCACAAATATGTCTCAAGCTTTATTGTACAAAATATACCAAAATTCCAATCTTATTAATTTATAGGCCAAAAGATGAGTGCAAACAAAATTGCCTTGTTCTAATCCCTAGCTTATCCGAAAAAAGGGAGCTAGTGAAAAATGATATAATACACTTACTCTTAAATACACTTCCTGATAAATTCTTACAAGGCATGTTAGGAAAAGAAAAGGCTATATATTGGGAACTTGGATATGCAATGATCATTTATACTAGTCAGGAAATAATACTCAAAGCTTTGCAATGTGTTTGGGTTATCGATGAAAATTTAGTCTGGAATAATCTAATTTATCTCGTAGTTGGTCGTGTAGAATATTTGAGCCAACTTATTCAGATTGAAGGTCCCTCATTACCTCCTGAGATTGAAGATGCAAAAAATAAAAAAGCTATCAAACATTCATTGAGACTATTTATTTCTGAAAAACTTGTAGGATATATGGATCAAGATAAGAAAAAAGGTCATGAATTTAACTTATCTGTTGATTATATCCTTGTATTAAAAGATTTGCAAAAAAATAAATATGAATTATGCCTCAATGAAATGTTATAGGAATGAGATGAAGCTGGAAATCCCGATCAATAGATGGTGGATCGAATTGATAATAAATTAGGTTACTTTGAAGGAAATGTACGTCTTGTCTGTCTTGAATGCAATCAGAATCATCGAGTCTGACTCACTCAATGAGACTAGAGCATTAGCAATTATGTGAGTATAATATGAGATATAAAATTTTTTGATTAATTATCTTGATATCTTATACAAAATTATTTATTACTACCACTTGCCTTTATTCAAAATATGGTGTATCAAAGTTATGGTCATTGAATGTATAGGATAATACAAACAAAGAGAAATATTAATACACTAAATACAAAATTGTGGATAGCTCAAGATTCCAAGTTATATGCACTACTGATGTCATGCATGTCTTGGATGAATCGATCACCATAAAATAATACCCATGTTGAAATTTTCATGTTTTTGCTCAAACTTTCTAGCATATACATTGCTCTGCAATACTTGGCCTATATATCGAAGTTGCTATAGAAGTTTTTATAATATAAGGAATAATATGTTAGTCTTGCTACTTCTACTAATAAAATAGGATAAATTTGTCAATGATCGATTATACATGACTTTACTGCTAAATATACTTGGAGTGGTAAAATTATATCTAATACTTAACCAAAAATTGAGTAGCATTATAAGTAGCATTATGAAAGTCAAATTCTAAATAAGATCGTGTATCACCCTAATATTATTTCAAAAGTCAGTTATTAATTGTATGAAAATCTATATATATGTGTATATTGGTGGGATCTTAATGTGATAGTTAGTGTTATAATTGTAAATATTCATCAGATATACTAGCTTTAGTGTAAGCAACCCTTCAGCTAATAAATATCACTTATCTTACTCAACATTACCCGGACTGTGTATTTTTAAGTTTCTAGATCCAGGTCCCCATTCTCAAAATCAGAATTTATGCTCATGTTTTTGATGATAAATCAATAATAACATAATAATAACATAATTAACATTTTTTTTTCCAGTATGTTCTGGCCTTTACTAACAGAAACAACGAATAAGATTCTAAGATGTGAAATCTTAATCTTGTATAAAAAGGATTCAAAAATCTTTAGTATACCCCTCTACCATTTTCTCTGTAATAATATCTCTAAAGAGAGTATGCTAATAAAACAATTAATAAATCGCAATAACTAATAAAAAAATTAGGCATTTGCCAGCCTCTGGCTAATTATCCCAAAACAAAACAACGTACCTATAATTTTTTTTAAAAATAAGATATCAGTATCACAATAGTCTAATTAATTTGTTTGTACGTTACCCCCGCACTTGTATATCTATACTAATAATCTTTTTTTCCATTATAGATGTCTTTGATCAATATTTCAAAAATTGCACTATTTTTAGCCTTTGTGTTAATAATGATGTTTGCTAAGAAAATTCCTGTCTATCTGATTTTTGTTGCCATGTGCTCTGTTACATATATCATCAGACAGCAACTTACTGTGGAACTCGACGCACATATGAAAAGATTAACCGCAAATCTTACATCACGAGATGCCACAATTGTGGTCAAGAGATAGAGAATCCTGACAATGGTAAATATTGTGATTGAAACTATTAATGAAATCACCACTAATTATGAATCACTTCGTAACCAGTTGGACCATTTAGCTAAGATGGGTTCTGTATCACTATTAATATTTAAACAATTTGCTGGCTCATCTGTATCTATGTCTAATTTTTCCTGAAGATCTTCTAGTTCTTCTTCAGGATCTTCTGGTTCTTTTCTGGGTTTTTCTAGTAGCTTAAGCCAATTATTATTTTCTGATATTATTTCAACAGCCAGAAATCACTTTAAAATTATTTTTGATAAAATTATAACAGAAAATAATTATTCTTTAGATGATATATGTAATATAGTATCTGTTGAGATTTGTGGTCTTGGGATGGGAAAGATTAGTAAGGAAACTATAAAAAATTTTTATTATAATAATGGTGATTTTAGAGGTAGTACT